CAGAAAAGTCCTATATATATATGTTTCACACTAATGAGGCATGGCGTCCACCTCGAGGGCTGGAGGTCCCGGGTTCAGGCCCTGGTGAAGGCTGGGATTTGTTCACGTTGACTTCTCGTAATTTCCCCTGGTCTCTGGGTAGTATGATTGAACACCCGTGTGTATTGTTGCACCCTTGGCTGTTGGACATCGAAAAAAGAGTAGCCTAACGGTGATTGATGCCCAGGCAAAGATGTGGAGTTTAAAAATCTACCTAAAGTATTTCAGGATTCTCACCGGTGCTACGCAGTTTGTGCACTGCATTGAGATTCTTTGGCTTTGAGTCAGAAATAGAACAGAACACTTATGGGTTACCACCCTTGTGCCATAATGTTGATCCGTCATCTAAACCTTAACCTAATCCTAAACCTAACACTAATGAATGTAAGGTAACATGAGAATCTCATGGCTCCTGTCTTCAACGTTTAGGTACCTGTTGCCTGATGAGTCCCATGGAAGCAAGCAGAAGACCCCGGTGGTCAGGAAGACCACCAACCCTCAGTGGCAGCACATCCTGGTGTTTGAGGGAGTTGACCAGTCTCGGCTACCTCAGCACGGCCTGGAGCTGACTATCTGGGACTACGAGCGGATGTCCAGTAATGATTTCCTTGGTGGAGTCCGGCTCAATTTAGGCCAGGGTCAGTTGTCTTGCTGTTTGTGCTCTTCCTCTGCCTCTTCTCACTCTCCTCATTTATCTTCTTCTAGACTATTTTGGTCCCTTACATCTTCCTTCTTGTCCCCAACTTCTCTCTTCTGTTTCTTTTTTCTGATTACACATATAGGCACTTTTGTCTTGCTACATGTTACATGAACATTGTGGTGACGTTGACGCTGTTTGTGATATGATCTGTGTCGTTGATTATGGTGTTGATTAGGGTGATGTTATTTATGGGATTATTGGTGGTGTTTTTTTGGTCGTGCATTTTTCAACCTTCAGTCTGTGAAGGCTCAGGTGGCTGGGTCACACCTGGAGAATGGTAGAGGCTCAGGTGGCTGGGTCACACCTGGAGAATGGTAGAGTCTCAGGTGGTTGGGTCACACCTGGAGAATTGTAGAGGCTCAGGTGGCTGGGTCACACCTGGAGAATGGTAGAGGCTCAGGTGGCTGGGTCACACCTGGAGAATGGTAGAGTCTCGAAGGCTGAGGTGGCTGGGTCACACCTGGAGAATGGTAGAAGCTCAGGTGGCTGGGTCACACCTCGAGATTGGTAGAGGCTCAGGTGGCTGGGTCACACCTGGAGAATGGTGGTCTCAAAGGCTCAGGCTGGGTCACACCTGGAGAATGGTGGTCTCAAAGGCTCAGGCTGGGTCACACCTGGAGAATGGTAGAGGCTCAGGTGGCTGGGTCACACGTGGAGAATGGTAGAGGCTTAGGTGGCTGGGTCACACCTGGAGAATGGTAGAGGCTCAGGTGGCTGGGTCACACCTGGAGAATGGTAGAGGCTCAGGTGGCTGGGTCACACCTGGAGAATGGTAGGGGCTCAGGTGGCTGGGTCACACCTGGAGAATAGTAGAGGCTCAGGTGGCTGGGTCACACCTGGAGAATGGTAGAGGCTCAGGTGGCTGGGTCACACCTGGAGAATGGTAGAGTCTCAGGTGGTTGGGTCACACCTGGAGAATTGTAGAGGCTCAGGTGGCTGGGTCACACCTGGAGAATGGTAGAGGCTCTCAGGTGGCTGGGTCACACCTGGAGAATGGTAGAGTCTCGAAGGCTGAGGTGGCTGGGTCACACCTGGAGAATGGTAGAGTCTCAAAGGCTCAGGTGGCTGGGTCACACCTGGAGAATGGTAGAAGCTCAGGTGGCTGGGTCACACCTCGAGATTGGTAGAGGCTCAGGTGGCTGGGTCACACCTGGAGAATGGTGGTCTCAAAGGCTCAGGCTGGGTCACACCTGGAGAATGGTAGAGGCTCAGGTGGCTGGGTCACACGTGGAGAATGGTAGAGGCTTAGGTGGCTGGGTCACACCTGGAGAATGGTAGAGGCTCAGGTGGCTGGGTCACACCTGGAGAATGGTAGAGGCTCAGGTGGCTGGGTCACACCTGGAGAATGGTAGGGGCTCAGGTGGCTGGGTCACACCTGGAGAATAGTAGAGGCTCAGGTGGCTGGGTCACACCTGGAGAATGGTAGAGGCTCAGGTGGCTGGGTCACACCTGGATAATAGTAGAGGCTCAGGTGGCTGGGTCACACCTGGAGAATTGTAGAGGCTCAAAGGCTCAGGTGGCTGGGTCACACCTGGAGAATGGTAGAGGCTCAGGTGGCTGGGTCACAGCTGGAGAATGGTGGTTTCAAAGGCTCAGGTGGCTGGGTCACACCTAGAGAATGGTAGAGGCTCAGGTGGCTGGGTCACACCTAGAGAATGGTAGAGGCTCAGGTGGCTGGGTCACACCTGGAGGATAGAGGATGGTAGAGCCCCTAAGGACATTCTCTATGGTGAATTACAGATGGGTAGAAGATGTTGAGGCCGACCTCTACTATGACATACAGATGTGCAAGTGGGACATGAATGACACAGGTATTGAGATAGATTCAGGGGAACAAAATACAATGGATCATATAGCATAAAGTGGGCAAAAACGGAAGCAGAAGGAAAAAAAGATTGTAGAAAATAAGAGGCTGAGCTGGTGAAAAGAAACTTAATAAATACATACGATGACAAGAGTAGGCCTGAAATCCCATGCTTTTATTGTGGAAGACTTTTCCTAACGGGGGCGGGTCTTGCTAGTCACACTCGTTATTGACTGTGAGCCCCATGCCTCATAGCACATTATAACACTGTCATCCGGAAATATGGAAACGTACCAACACTGGTGGTGTTGACAATGTTTTTTGTTGTGTTAGTGGTGGTAGTGTTGATATTATGATTATGTTTTTTTGTTGTGTAAGTGGTGGTAGTGTTGATTTTTTGTTGTGTTAGTGGTGGTAGTGTTGATTTTTTGTTGTGTTAGTGGTGGTAGTGTTGATTTTTTGTTGTGTTAGTGGTGGTAGTGTTGATTTTTTGTTGTGTTAGTGGTGGTAGTGTTGATTTTTTGTTGTGTTAGTGGTGGTAGTGTTGATATTATGATGATATTTGTGATATGAGTAGTAATGATGTTGATGATGAACTTTACAAAGAGTTTGATTTTCTTGCAGACTGTCATCAGAGCAAGTCCGTGGAATGGATGGATGCACGAGGAGAGGAGATTGAAGCCTGGCAGGCCATGATTGATCACCCAAACCAGTGGGTGGACGCCCAACTGCCCCTGAGGGTCAGCATGGGCAAACCCAGTGGCAAGAAATAGTCCGGCTATGGTGGCTTCCTCCAAACAGGAATCAAGTCTGGTGCAGGGCAGCAACAGGTTCCCATTTCAGTTACAGACGCTGTCATTGGTTCCACTTGTAAACAACTGGATTTCTGTGTAGATCAGCTGCAGTGTGATGAGTCCTGGCCTGTAGCTGTTGATAATAAGATCAGTGTGGCTGGTGGCGGAGGCAGAGAACTGTACCCCCAGCTGGGCTCTCTAACTCAGGAGTGGGACAGCCAAGAGATGGATGCCAGGGCAGAAGTGTTACCAGCTAGCATTAATTCTAATGTTTATACAGCTTTTAATGTTACACCGACTTGTACACTTGGGAATCAGTTGCTTGGAGAGGATGGTTCGACTCCTGGCCCTGAGAGACTAATGCTGCATGTTCATACACAGAGGGCTATTGGGATGTGGAATTATTGCAGTGACAGGCCGGTTGTAGCTAGTGATGCAGAAACTCCAGATATAAAATTGTTGAGAGAAAGTTTATTTTATGGGTGCAGAAGTCATGACCAGGTGCCAGCTGATACAAAAGTTGTTAACAGCGAACAAAATATGCCAGTTGGCAAAGATGATTATAGCCACAAAATTATTTTCAATAGAAAAAGCAGTCAGCTAAATCTAAAAAGGGATATAAAATGCAGGAGAAAAGCTGCAGCACTAGAAGAAAACTTGTCAGTGACATCTGATGAAGAGATTCACCGCCAGAGAAATTTGTTGTCTGCTTTTAAAAATAAGAACCAGGGAGGGCTCATTCCCACAGCGCCCCCTGCTGACTATGACTCTGAAACTGACGCTGTAAGTGACAGTCCTTGCTCTGACCAGTCCCCCAGTTCCTCGGACTCTGTCGTGTCCTCGTGTAACGAAACCGCCTCCAGGGTCCTTGTTGAGACCAGTTCGGTCAGTGCTTCTCATGATGGCCCTGTAGCCACAGTCCTTGAGTCTTCCATGCCGGCTCTGGGAGACACTTCAATCGTGTCAAAGCCAGAGGATGACCTCCAGTCAGTGCCCAACCCGAGGCAGGACCCACCAGCTGCTTGTCAAGTCGTCATTCAGGATTTCCTACCAGGCCGGAATTCTTTGGAGAATGTTTCAAAAATACATAAATCTAACCAGTGTCACATTCTGCAGAATTCAGAAACTGGACCCACTAATGACCCACTGAGACCCTGTAGTGTCCCACATACATTTACCAGCAACCACTCTAGGAGACCTGTTGTTGCTCTGCACAGATGTACCAGCATAATTGCACAGACAACAAAGTACACAGAGACTGGGCCGGATTTGGGCATTCATGAAACTGAGACTTTCACTTCAGTTTCAGTTTTCCGGTCGATAAATTCTTGTGATGACAATGGCGACGACCTCCAAGATTCTCCAGTGGTCTCTTTGGCTTCTGACTTTCCTTGTGTGGATTGTGTCAGCTTTAGTCTGGCAGCTGCCAAATCTGGTCGTTTAAGTTCATCTCTTGCTGGCCAGACACTGATATCTGATGCCCAGTCATCCGCAAAATATCAAATGTCACCGGATACTCACTTAGTAGAGCCAATTGTTTCTTCAGCTGCAGCTCATCAAGTATCAGCATCAACATTAAACCATCACAAACATCACACTTCAGATGTAAAGACCTCCAACAGCGGTCGGCTTCACCAAACACCTGGCCAGTCCAAAGTGTTTCATGATTTGCCAGAAAACACCTCACCAACTGTTGGGTCATTCAAAGATAGGTTGTTCTGCTTCTAATGGGGCTCCCACAACTGGCTCCAGATTGGATTTGTACAGCAACGGACGTCGTGAATCCCTAACAGTTTTGCCTCAAGTGACATCCAGCCAGGTGAATGCTGGGCTACTGAAACCATTGCTTCAGCTCATCAGTGAGAACTCACAGGGTGTGCCCAAAGAACGGTTGCAAGAACTGATTAGCCACACTGTGGATAAGATGTTTCCTGAAGCTGACATCTCCACGAAGTTGGGGTTAAAGGAGTTTCTCGCTGAAGAGTTGAGCCACCTGAATTCCCAACCTGGCAAATCTGTGCCTTTCTGGAGACAAGGAAGCTCAGTCTCACGTTGTGTTGGTAACCAGACAGAAACTATGTCTTCGGATAACTGCTGGGTGTCCCTCTTGATCTCCTTGCTGCCAGACCTGGACACTGTAGAAGTCTGCATTAATGGCATTCTTGGTCAGCTCACAGAAGCCCTGGTGGCAGAATTGCATGGGTTAACCTTTGTGGGCATCAGCTCCAGCCCAGAGATGGACGATGTCCAGCCTGCAGATAAGTGTGTCCCTGGTCAGTGTGATACATTAGCAGGCCAGGATCTGGCTTGTACATATATAATAGAGCAGCAAGCACTCACAGCAAAGAGACCTCTTTCAACAGCATCCAAGGAGAGTGTGTCAGAAACACAACCATTATTTGAGGTGATAGAGCATGTCAACACTTCTCCAGTTATTTCCGATATTTCTGAGTTCAGCAGTCTGCAGGATTCACACAGGAACCTGTGTAGAGTTTGTTCACATCCTGACTTGTACCGCAGTGCCCATGAAGCATCCAGCACTTCGTATTCAAGTGTCCTGTGTGATAGGCAGTATGAGAGACCAAGTCAGTGTATGCTAGGAAATGCTACTCACATAAATAGCCGAGCAATGGACACAGTCATAGACAACACTCATTCTCCTTTACCATCAGGTAGAAGACGGGTAAATATGGTGGATGATAGATCAAAGACAGGTACCTTTTATGATTATCAACATCTTTTAAAGGCCAAACATGCAAATAACCAGGAAGATGATGTTTTCTTCAGCACGGAGATTCATCAGGAATGCAATAAAAATACTCGAAGTACTAAAGGAGTCCACAAGAGCAACTCGGCTTCTTCTCTGCCCAGCACCACGTCAACTTGTCTCAGCAGCCCAAACAAACCAGTGTTGAAATCTGCCACCAGAAACACTTGTGGCTCTTCTCATCCAGACCTTGTCTCCAGCCCAGTTACTGATCCCTGGACAAGATCACACTCTGATCACTGCCAGAATGCTTATCTTGCATGTAGGAGACTGAGCACCTGTGAAACATCTCAAGCACCAAGGAAGTTATTGTATAATTCTGAAGAGGACTGCACATCTATAGAGGAGTGCTTCAGTGAAATGGAAAATAGCCTTGTAGCACAAGATGATGCTGGAAACGACAACAACCTATCACAAGAGTCAGTAAAATGTCACAGAAGACAGCCTCTTAGGGAAAGGCTGTGGAAGAATGAAAGAACCAGCACAGCATGTTCATTGGGCAGTGGTCTGGCTGGTGTAGACACAGTCCCAGAGGAGAGCCAGAGTGCCACAAGTCTGCTTTCTTCCAAGGTTTTTGTCTGGGGCCATTGAAAGACAGATCTGTTCCAAACACTAACCAGCTCAGAACCGTATTCCCAACACTTTTTCTTTCACTGAACTGTTTCGTTAAGTGGAATGGCAGAGGACACTTCAGACAGTAAACGTTATATAGAAGCCTCAGAGATGTGAACAGCGGATATGTGTTACGTCACATGTGGATCATAAAACAGCAGCTGAAGTCAAGTCTAAGAGAAGTGTCCCAGTTTGACCAGATTCTGTCTGCAGAAAATGTGTTTGATTGAATCAAGGGAAGATCAAATTGAGATGATCGTTAAAATCATCAGTCAGATTGTAGCTTTTCCAATCTTCATCTTATCCCCTTTATCAGCTTCTTGCATTGGCCACTTCTCATTTTTCAGCTTCTTCCATCTTAAGCATCTCCCTTTTCAGGTGTCCCATCGTTAGCTTCTGCAGTCTTCAGGTTTTCTTGAGCCCATAAATTACACACGTTAACATCTCTGTGCTCCCTGTGATCTGATGCTACATTTGGCTGCTGTCTTAAGACAAAATTATCTCCATGGTAGTGTACTAACTGCAGCCACCCAGTCCGCCAAAGTCTGGCATTCTCTCTCCAGAATGAAGCCTCCTTTCATTGGCGTGTTCTACAGATCAAGACCACATGTGCAATTAATTAGCTTAGAGCCAATATAAAACAACAAAATGATTTATGATGAAGAATTGACACCCCTTCTTGAGCGATAAGTGCACAGTCTCTCCAAGCAAAAGTTAGTGCGGACAAAGACCACAGCTGGTTATGCCATGTGTCTAAACTGTCCTTGTTTGTGTTCACTGTTGCCAGTTCCACTCTCCAACAGACATCATTCCAGAGTCAACTTCCCACTTCAGCAGCCACAGTTCCAGAGTCAACTTTCCACTTCAGCAGCCACAGTTCCAGAGTCAACTTCCCTCTCCAGGAGCCACAGTTCCAGAGTCAACTTCCCACTCCAGGAGCCACAGTTCCAGAGTCAACTTCCCACTCCAGGAGCCACAGTTCCAGAGTCAGCTTTCCACTCCAGGAGCCATAATTCCAGAGTCAGCTAATCACTCCATGTCTGCACAAGAATGCTTGGATTTCCTGATGTTTGTTGTAGTAGTCATGTCTGCATAAGAATGCTTGGATTTTCTGATGTTTGTTGTAGTAGTCATGTCTGCATAAAAATGCTTGGATTTACTGTTTGTTTGCTGTAGTAGTCATGTCTGCATAAGAATGCTTGGATTTACTGATGTTTGTTGTAGAGTCATTTGCATAAGAATGCTGGATTTGTTTGCTGTAGTAGTCATGTCTGCATAAGAATGCTTGGATTTACTGATGTTTGTTGTAGTAGTCATGTCTGCATAAGAATGCTTGGATTTCCTGATGTTTGTTGTAGTAGTCATGTCTGCATAAGAATGCTTGGATTTCCTGATGTTTGTTGTAGTAGTCATGTCTGCATAAGAATGCTTGGATTTACTGATGTTTGTTGTAGTAGTCATGTCTGCATAAGAATGCTTGGATTTACTGATGTTTGTTGTAGTAGTCATGTCTGCATAAGAATGCTTGGA